ATATATATATATATATATATCTCCCCAATCAAAAACTGTTTAATTGTCTGAGCGATAGAGTTCAAAACGATAATAATGAATGATTGGTATTAATATTGATTCATTTACATTTTGCTGACCTTTGACTGAAGGGTCATAATGTCGTATGTTGAACACCTGGACTCACCTGAGCTCCACCTGTGACCTGTGACCTCCTGCAGGTTTGGACATGCTGGACGGGGACTTAAAGGGGAAGTACTTCGCTCTGAAGAACATGACTGAGGAGGAGCAGCAGCAGCTGATCGATGACCACTTCCTGTTCGACAAGCCCGTCTCCCCTCTGCTGCTGGCGTCTGGCATGGCTCGCGACTGGCCCGACGGCCGCGGCATCTGGTAGGTACTCAGAACACCTGGACAGGTGACTCGCTCCCCGTCCCAGAGTCATTAACCCTCGTCTCTCGCCCGCAGGCACAACGACAACAAGACCTTCCTGGTGTGGGTGAACGAGGAGGATCACCTGCGAGTCATCAGCATGCAGAAGGGAGGCAACATGAAGGAGGTGTTCAACCGCTTCTGCACCGGACTCACCAAGGTGACACCTGAGCGCCCACTTCCTGTTTGCAGACCACCGGCATCACCGCCGCTCACCACCTGACCACCTGTCTCTCTCTCTCTCTGGCAGATCGAGAGCTTGTTTAAGGAGCGAGGTCACGAGTTCATGTGGAACGAACACCTGGGCTACGTCCTCACCTGTCCGTCCAACCTGGGGACGGGACTGAGGGCTGGAGTCCACGTGAAGCTGCCCAACGTCAGCAAGCACGACAAGTTCGGAGACATCCTGAAGAGGCTGAGGCTGCAGAAGAGGGGCACAGGTAAGAGACAGACAGGCGGAGAGACAGGTTGACTTTAGCCAGTGAGAGCTTGAGTTTCTGATCTGTGGACGATAGAAAGTACAAATTAAAGTAATTCTATACATGTCTGTCTGTGTGTGTGTGTATGTATGTATGTATGTATGTATGCATATACATACACATATCTATACACATATATGTGTGTGTGTATATATATATATGTATGTATGTATGTATATATATAT